CATTTTGCTACTCACAAAATTCTTAATTAAATATTAATTATAAAATTTCAACAACTCATCGTAATTGATAAAACAATCAATCTTAAATTTAAAATTTCACAATTTAATTCAAGATAAATAAGTCTCAAAATGTTAGCATCACATTAATGTCTCGACAAATTTTCATACAAATATGAATAGGGTAGAGATGGAGAACATATTTCCTACACGGACCTCGCTCCGAAGGGGCTTAAACGGAAAATCTTCATTCCGATTAAGATGGAGCCTATGGGAAAAAGTAACACTTTTAATGAGAGTATATACTCTTTCCATTTACAATTTGATATATTATCAATAACATATTATTTTATTATTTAAAAAGAAATATAAGGCAGTTAAATATTTAGTAAAATTAACAAAATAACAACTCCATTTAGTTTTTTCAAATACAATACTTAAAAAAAAGGTCCGATTTTAGAATGATAATATTACCCAAATGATATATATTTGTAATATATATGTAATACATCGTATGCATGTGATACACATTTGATATATTAATGATATAAGTGTATGATATACTAGCAATATGTATGTGATATACATATGATATATTATTAATATCAGTAAAATACTACTGATATAAGTGAAAATTTGTATTATATTTAAAAATTAAAAAATATTTTTATATATATAAAAACTTTTGCTATTCGCAATTTTTCAAAAAATAATATTATTTTATTCAATAAATCCACATTATTCTTCAGTTACTATTGAATTGGGAGACGGGAGTAATTTTTCCCGTAGTACAGGAAATTTCCATTTTAGACAATGCCACGCCACCCAAAAAAAGCCTCCCACCACCCACCGACGTTGTCTGCTCCGGGCCCACCCAAAAAAAGAAAGATAAAAAATAAAAAAAAGTACAATTATAAATCACCTCCCTCAATTGTCCTTTTCATAAAATGATTTAAAATGTAGACTTTCAGTAAAAATAAATTACACAATTTATAGGTTAAATTATAAATATGGTATGAATTAAGGTCATAATATACACATTTTATTTAGATATTTTCTCAAATTTTAATTAAGTGATGTATGAGATGCCTTTATTAAATGTTGAAATTTTAAAATGTATCTGACAAGTTTTTCAACTTCTAATTTTATGTCTAATAATAAGTCTTTGAATTTATAAAAAACTGGATAATAAATTATAAAATTGAAAAAGTTGAAGAATAAGTTTGATTTAACTTATTTTAGACGCCGCTGAATAGTGAAAAGTTGATAAATAATTATCGGCGGAATTGCAATGGATTTTTCAAAAGCGGATTTAAATGTAAGGCAGAGTCCGCAGCCGCCGCATTGACAAGGAGGTGGGGCCCACAGCCCACGTGTGGATCGTTTCGGAGGGGTTGCGTAAGTGCGCCACGTGTCAAAAGTTAGCCCCCACCGGCGAGAGCCATAAAAGTTGGTCAACGGTCAAGCCATCGTCCATTGCCGATGTGATTTCATTCAAGAGGAGGACCCATATAATATTGCTTCTCTCATGGCTAGTTTTTATTTTTTTTTATTTTAATGATTATTTTTTATTTAATACATTATGGTTTTGTAAGTACAAGTCCAACAAATTAAAACAAAATATATAGTGTCGGTTGGTTCGGTTTCATGAAAAATAAGTCGATTTGATTTTAATTGGTTTCGTTTGTAGTGTCAACTTGAAACTATAATTTAACTGGATAAGACATCTATTTTCAAGGATAAAAAAATTATGAATTTGAATATCTATCCCACGTGTTGTACTTAAAAGGGAAAAAAAATTCAACCGGGGTGATATATTCTTGATTTTTTGAAATATAGCTTTACACTTTTCTTTCTTAAATTGATAAGTTTGTCTGGTGTTAATTTATATCCATAATTTATTTGAATCATTTACGTCTTTAACACTTCAAAATTTTAAGGAGTTTTTTTTATAATTAATTTAGGTATGTCTTTCTTTTTAGTTTAACAAGTGGAGAATCTAATTTAATTTTTTAATCGATAATACATGTTTTAACTAATTAAGTTATCGACAAATTTAATACTTGAAATTTCGGATTTATTTTGTTTCCGTTTTCTAAATTTTCAAATATTTTGTTATAGTCTATTTAGAAAAGAAAAGAAAAGAAAATGTATACATTTTGTTTTAGCGTAAATTTGCATGTTTTTTTTTTATATTTACTGTTAATTTTATATTAACCATTTAATAAAAGCCTACATTTATCCCAAGTAGACATCTAGAATAATTAAAATACTAAAATCAAATGTTTGAAAATTTAAGGACATAAATGCTTTGTTTGAAATTTTAAGGACATAATTAAATGAAAAAAGCACAAAAGTTTAGAATTAAATAGAATTTTAAATCTTTCAATTATTTATTCTATACATTCACAACACACACAAAACAAATTTATGTTTCTAAAACTAATCAATAATTAGAAACAAACAGATAATTTAGAGAACATTACAAAATAGTAAAAAAATTAATCCTATTTTAACTATTTTTAATCATAAATAATACTTACTATTAATTTTTTTTTTCTATATCTTTTCTCCACATACTTTTCTTACTAACTTCTCTCTATAAAAACTTTATTTCACTAATCTATATTCCTTCGTTGAATCATCAATTCCTCTTTTGAACACATTTACACTTTCGATTTCTCTACTCAAAATATTTCGCGCTCTAGAAATTATAGTACAGATTTGAATAAGAAGACACATTTTTATAAAAATTAGGTTAAAATAATATTTTAATCCCTCTACTTTCAAAGGGTTAATTTGATTTCTATCCATTTTGGTTCATTTTAGTTTTTACTTACTTTAAAATTTTTGTTTTGTCCCTTTACTTTTAAAAAGTGACTACTTTTTATTTTTGTTTGTAAAATTTTAATACAAAGTTTTATACACAACATAAATCTTTTATATAAAGTCATGATTATATTTCAACAAATATATTGAGTGTAGGGTCGTGTTGAAATTGTGATAGAAAATATAAGATAAAAAATAAAATGAAGAGAAAAAAAATTCCTTATTAAAAGTATAGAGATCAAAATGAATGTTTTGAAAGTACATGACTAAAATAGACAAAAATTGTAAGTACAGAGACCGAAATGAACAGTTTAAATACATGAACTAAGTCACTAAAATGGACCAAAATTGAGAACCGAAATATTATTTTAACCAATAAAAGAATTATTGCTCACGTAATTTCGAAAACATAGATAATTTTTTAAGATCCAAACACCAGCCCAATCCTTAAGGTTTGGGCCCTCCACATGGGTTGGATTAGATTTTATGCCATCCCTCCTCCATAAGATTTAGGATTACATCTATCTCTCTCATTTGTTTGTTTCCTTTTTTCCCCCAATTTATTCCTTGCATTTTGCCTTTCATATTCTTCATGTAAAACGCACTTTGGATAGATGAACCTACTTGAAAATGATGTCCAACAAGAAAGAAATTGAATTAGATGACGGGTCTTTATTTCTCGAATGGTCGCTTACATGGACCTCACGAAAACTACGTATACATTATCAGTGACAAATTTTTTCCTCTCTCATCCCTATCGATAATAACTCATCAACCTGGCTATTGAAGTTCGATGTCCTATCTTCTTCCATTACGAGTAAATGAATATGTGAGGTAGTTGAATATGGATTGAGTCAGACCAAGCTTAAATGATAAAACGAGTCAAATTGGATATACTTGTGGAGTAACTCGAAATTTTGATTAGATCGAACAAAATAGTTCAAAAATGTAAAAGTTGATTAATGTTTGAGACTCTACACGTACACATACACGTACACATACACAGAAGTTCTTGAAAAAGAAACAATAGTCAAAAGTTAAAACTATATTTCTTTATCTATGAATCTTTTCTCTTAGTATAAAAGGAAAACTAGAATGGATTTGAGATTCCTTTGGACACCTTCTTCTTCTTCTTCATCTTGATGATTAATTACTTTGAGCTTTAGCCTCTCAACTTAGGCTTCATTCTATCCGAAAAAACAAAACAAAACAGAGAGAATCTTTGAGTCAAAACTTAACATAAACACAAAACAAAAAGCTATCTAGGATTCAAAATCATTACCTGTTTTGTGTCGGATTTGGCCCGCTACGTGGTATTCGACGAAGACTCGAGGAAGTAGACGATGCTGTTTCGCCGAGCTTTCGAGCTATGCGAGGAAGATGAAGATGAGAAACTTGATACGACGACGACAACGACAACAACGGAGACGATGTAGGAGAAACGCACGGAGATGGGATGAGTCTTCTTGCAGCTTGAGTAGGAGTGTGAAGATGTAGAGAGCAGCAGCAAATCAGTAGAAAAGTGCGGAGAATTGGAACCAATGATTTGGAGATCAAAGGTTTCATGTTTTTTTGTGAAACTCAGAGAGAATCAATGTCTTTGGTTTGTCTTGCAATTCCAACAACTTGGTCTGCCTACTTATATAAGTTAACAACTACTCAACTTTTGTCTTCATCTGCCTTCTCTGCTTCAGTTTTGAGTATTGTTATTCTACTGAAATGTCTGATTTTCACCTATATTCTATACTTCTGATATATTACATGTCACACCCCATATTTTGTATATTTTGCAAATCACACCCATATACTAGTTTGCAAATTCACAAATCATACCCTTTTGCCAGTTATAAGGGTATGATTTGCAAAAGAAATAAAATATAAGGGTGTGGTTTGCAATTAATCTAAAAAAATTGTCAAGTGAAGATCAAACACAGTTTTCAATGCAGATCCAATGGATTTGTGAGTGTGAGCCATGTGATGTAAACATACATGTTTTGACTTGTGGAGCTTCCAATTTCCAAAGCAAAATCAAAACTTGGGAGTTCTCTTTTTATTTTTTGGCTAAATATAAAATAATTTGTTCACCTGCCATCACGTGACCAAGCACGTGATCAAATATCAGAATTTTTTTTCTTTTTTCTTTTTTTTTTTCCTGGTTGTCAAACTTTGGATTCTACTCTCCAACAAAAAGAATTCCATTACTATATTCAGATAATCAAATGTTACTGCTGCAGTATGCTCAGAGCTTAAAAAACAAAATAAAAAAACTAAAACTGATCATTTTTGCCCCTCTGGTTTGACTGAGAGAGCTGCATTCAGATAAATCAAAGTTTCTTTCCTCTCTGTTTCTTCTACCTTTTGCCTAAACTATTCTTCCCTTTTCAGGTCTGACCATTGGCTGCAATCTGCTGTGGTGCATCTATGAGCAGCAATCTGCATCCATGGCCGATGATGATGATGATGTATCTCTCTCATAGTCTCTTCTGTTAGAGAGAGAGAAGTTATGGAGAATCACATCCCTTCCTTGGATTCAAAATCTGCCAATGAAATTTTCTGGTTTTCTAACATTTTCTACACGATCCTACTTCGTTTTGGTGTCGGGCAAAACTTCGATCGATTCATCGTTGTTGTGATGAATGGTTAGCTTAAGCTACTGAGCATATTAGGATCTGTGGATAAATGAAAATGTGAGGCAGAGAATGGAATATGGTTAAAATGGACATTCATAACTCAACAAATTGATATTACTACTTACGTTTAGATTTAGGGGTAGTATCTACTGTTTGTTGATAGAATTTCTTCAACTCCAACTTTCATATCAGAGCCAGAAATTTTCTTCTTTAGCCCTCCCTCGGCGACCATGACGTCGACTAAGAATGTGGCACAAACAGGGCGGTGATCGGAGAATCGGGACTCCCCACGAATGTAAAATAGTTGTTGTATGCCGTCACCGTGCCATAAAATTCTGTCACACCTGCATTCTCCTAGGAGTTTTCAGGATCATGTGTCACGAGGGTGGATTAGACAAGAGTTAGTTGTTTTTATATGCCATACTTACCAAGCGGGAGTTCTTCTCTTCTTTTTCGATTTTTTCAAGTCCCCAGCGTACGTGTCTGAATTGTAGTAGTATTTATACGTTGGTGCGAAATAAATCTTTCCCTCTTTCCATCCACGGAATACTCGCCCTGCATCTCGTTCGATCTTCAGCTACAACACCAATCAAAAAAGGGGACATCATTGATTTACGAACACAATCTCAAACTTGAATAGGATTTTGTCTATGGCAGCAATTTGATAGACAACAGTAAGCACTCCTAGTTTCAAACAATGAAGAAATAAGAATTGACTGAACGATGCTGCTAGAGAGATTTGGTATTGTCATTATGACTCTATCCAATGGTTACCTGATCTTTGTCAAGAAGTGCATCCCAGTGATTCTCTTCCATGAGTCTTCGAGTTTCCGAGAAGCTCAAAGCTATCCGGTAATTCAAGTCTCCTAACCATATTATTCGTCTTGAGCCATTTCATCAATACGAATGAGAAATTCAGTAGCCAGAAAATATATACATGTCATATGGAACGGATTACCGAGTAGTGTTGTTCTTATTTATATATGTATATATGTCTTTTTTCAAATCAAACAATTTAAGATGCTCACTCGTGTCCAAGGATCTTCTCCGGGATTCGACTGTAAGGTGTTCTGCAGGTTTTTGGGAACTGAGTGTTCTTAAGAATTTCGATGACATCCAAATTTCTCCTTAGCTCATCCCCTTCTTTCTCCCCGGAAGCTAAGTGACTGCAGATGAAGCAAAAGCTTGTCTGGTGAAATAACATGCTCACTGAAATGGACCCCTGGAAGCCAAGAACCAACCGCCCGTTTTCAAAATGAAACTATGATGAATATTATGTAGAATTATCCCATATTTGTAGGCAAGCAAACAAAAAAAATACAAATATTACCTTGTTCCCAAGGCAGCCCATGATCCCGCGACTCGTACTCGCAATTCTCAAGTGACTAACATGTGGAACAAGCTCCTTCCTCATCCAAATTGTGACAAAAATGCCAACCATTTGTTTGCTTGCAATGAGACCATACTTCATCTCATTACTGCTTTCAGGAATGGCGATTTCTGAAATATCAAAGACGCTCGGATCCTCCTCGTCATCCTCGTCTTCTGAAGAAATACCATCTTCACTTACATGTGATGGCTGGCATCGGAACCAGAAATCTTTGCTGCGTTTCCTTTCGAGTTCCGGAGGTGTACAATTGCAACTCTTTAGCTTCCTTCTACTTACCGTCCCGAAAGTTTTACTGATGCTTTTAAGGGAAGGTTTCGGAAAGAAAAGTGAACCTCCAAGACTGGTGGTCGGTTTCACTCCTCTTGTGGAGCCATTTGATGGGTTGTTCAATGATTGGTTGATTAAGGCTAGCCATCTTGCAGCAGGCTCATTGTCTTCAATGACTAAAACATTTCCAGCATTTAGAGGCACAATTTCCTGAAAACTGATAATAAAAGGAGTATAAAGAACATACCATCTGCCGGTATGATTGGAAACTAAAAGAATGAAACGACTAATTAAGGTAATAATTGATAAAATCTACTATCCACAGTGTCATTGGAAGAACAAGAGCATCGGAGACTTCTTTTAAAAAATATGAAATGGAGGATTCAAACAGTGAACAGAGTAGACATGATATCCAATCCCGATAAACAAACTGATCCATTTTCTTGGAAAGGAAAGATTGGTAATGAACTTTCAAAGCAAAGCATGATGAACGGACCCAATTCTATGTTCTAACAACCACCAAATTAATAAGATGGAAAGAGGGAAGGAGAGAGAGGCAAGAAACGTACCCAAATATGTAAATATCTGCCGTGTTATCGTTCTGAAGAAAATCGTTCAGATTGAGATTGGTATGGGGAGATTTTCCTCCAACATTCCATGTTGCAACGAAAATACTGAATCAAATTCCACCAGGGAAAAGAATGTTAATGCACAAATGGAGAACAAGCCCCAAAGAAAATCGAAGCGATCATAGTGTCATAATAAGAAGTACCGAAAAGATTGAACTTCTTGACCAGGGGCCATTAGAGAGTCGGTACTGCTTAAGAACGTACTGTCTAGCTGTAGGTCCGAATGCGGTTCTGTATATAGATTGAAAAGGAAAAAGCCAAAATCGACGTAAGAACCAAGCAAATATCCATCGACCTTATTTTCTACATAACAGAGAAGTTGAGCAAAGCCTCTTTCTAATAATCAAACCAAGATAATTCATTTCTTGATAAAGTTCATATTTTCAACCAACTGATCGAAAAAATTTCGGAAACAGCTGAGGAAAAAGAACAATACTAAGAGGGAGAGAGAGAATATACCATTCTTTGCTTCCTTTCGCACACTAGTTTTTAAGCATGAGAATTGAATATATTCTCCATTTGGACCTAGTTGACAAGATTCTCTTCCTATCACTATCGGTTTTAGTTTTTTAATCTTCACAGGCAAGCAAAGCAATTTCATTCCCAAATCTCTTCTAATCCAAAGGTTGTCAGCCAAAATATGCTTAAAAAGGTAATTCAAACTTATCATCAACAATGACTTATCTGAAGAAAACTTTGCTTTTCCATAGTGAGATTTCTTTCTTAATCATAAAAAATGAGGATAAGATGTTAATTATCTTAAAAGCATATCCCTTTTAGAACTCACCAGTGGACTCAAATGAGCCTTTGAACTCTTTCTTCCCATTTCTTTCTCCCACGGCAAATATTTTTCTAATGAAGGACTGAAAGCATAGGAGAAAAAAGAAGATATTTCATGATTACTACTTCAAAAGTTGCCAATATTGTATGTGTGCCACTTCTTTGTAAGATAAAAAGATGTGTACAAATTCAAGAGAACAAAGCAACAAAAAGAACTTTGGGATTAAAAAAACTGGGAAGAGAGAGAGTCAACCTTCTTTCTTGAGTCTTTTTTGCTGAGAGTCATGCTTGAAATTGCAATTTCTCATCAATGCCACTGACCCAAATCAGAGATCTACGGAAAAAAGGAGAAAAAAAAAAGAAGTAAATATGAATTGAAATGACATTATGACAAACAATTCATAGTCACTCTCAAGTCTCAAGAATGTCAAGAAACTAAAGAGAGAAACAGAGGAGTGAACACCAAAAACCATCCCCTGCTCCAAAATCTCAACAGCCATTATCCAAATCAATTTCTGTAAAAAAATGAACAGAACAGAACACAGACAGACAACAATGATCCAACGATACATCAAAATTACCACATGTAGAAGCAGAACCCATGTTCAAAGAGAGACAAATTCGATCAAATCTAAGAGAAGTGGCAACCCATGACGAGGGCTGACAAGTTGGTGGAGGCTATTCTTATTCACAGAGAAAGTCAACTGTCGGAGCAATCGCTTATATAAACAAAATGAACTCCAACATTTTCCCGGAAAATGCATAGAAAATCGGAAAGAGAAAAGAGAAACTCGAAATTGAATGTTGGAGATTCTAGAAGAAAGGAGCAAAATGTCCGATTATATTCAATGGAATAGTCCGAGAAATTTGCTGTTCCAAGGAGCGAACGAGAAATAGAATGGCATTGAAATTGACAAAAGGGGCACAGCACAGTTCTACGTGAATAGAAATGGGATTGATAAATAATATCGACAATAGATTAGATTTACGTGCAAATGGGGGATTTGGGTTTTTGAAAAGAGGGGTAAATTTTCTCGGGAAAATAAAGCGAAAGAGAAAATTTTATTTATTTGGAAACGGTCAAAAGCAGAGTAGAGAAAGAATCTCAAAAACACCTTTGAAGAAACGCCGATTTCAGTTTGTAGTTTGCTCCTGCCATTGCTGCTGCACTTGAAAGGTTTTCTTTGATCAAAATTCTTCAGAAGTTGACGGCAAATTGGAAGAGGAACAATTCATTTGATCCGCTGTGGTATTTTGTTGATCATCAACAGATTCAGAGGAAGAAGAAGAAGAAGAAGAAGAAGAAGAAAGTGATGCGTTCCATAAAAATTTCAGAGATGAAGAATCTTGTGAATCTCAACAAAATGATGATCTAAAATTTGGGGCCTTTTTATAGAGTTTTGAAGGGAAATAAATTCAAATACTTTAATTTGGGTAGTTATGTTCATGGACTTTTTCCTCCTTTATTTGTTAAAGTCTGTTTTGGGTATTGTTCTATGTTTCTTAGTTTTCACTTATTTATGTCTTGTCATTCAAAATGATTACAAAA